CCTGCCCCAGGAAATGTTCCTTGGAGGATACCTCAGGAGGGTGAAGCTGCTGCCTTGAAGCCCACAGTAGTCTCAGATGAACCACCATGGCTTTGTAATGGTCTTAAATTCAGAGCCAGCAGATTATGCCAGATCACTGGTGTCTGACCAGAGCATCTGCAGAGCCACCCAGACCTCATTCCTCCTTCTGCAGCATGCATCATGGTCCCCAGGTGGCTCTGCTAACTGTGATAACCCTGCAGGGTGATACGGGGCTGCACCCAGCCCTGGCCTCCATGTGTGGAAATGCCACGCATGCAGCAACCACACGGAGGGCCTGCTTAGCCACCCCAGCACAGAAAGGTCTGAATGTTTTGAACCACTGGGAGATTTTCAAAAATTGCACCACCCAGAGGGCCGGTGGGAGCCCAGTGGGGTCATGCCGGCACCAGCCCATGCTGCACTCCTGCCAGCATCCACCCCGTTGCCAGCAAGAACAGTGCCTGCCCATGAACAATGCTGGGAGCAAGGAGGCAAAGCCTGGCTCCAAGCACCCGAGTGCTTTCTGCAACCAGCGAGGCAGAAAGCACCTGCCAAGAGAAACACTCTGTCCCACACACAGGGACAGGGACACCGCCGGCTTGGGGTCCTGCCCATGGCAGCCCTGCACAGCCCAGCAGTGGGCACAGAGCGAGGGACAAGGTACGTGCCAAGGGCTGGACCTGCACACATCAAACCCCACGAAGATGCATGTTGTTCAGGGAGACGTGCCAAATGAAACTCCAAAACAAAGCAAAGCCCCCTTAAGAAAATAGAAAGCAGGCCAAATGCAGAGCTGCTGTGAGGGAAATGAAAGCTATGCATTTTCTCTTCCCCTGTAGAAAATCATAAATGCCTGCTGTCAGTATGTCAGCCCTGCAGAGTGGTGGTGCTTCTTGAGGAGAGTGGTTCTTCTGCCAGGTGAAGTAAACAGCAAGCTCCTGCGCTGTTGGTGTAGCAGAGGGCAGGCAGGCGACTTCTCTGTGCCTGGACTGACGCATCCCCATGATGGCTCGGTAAGATGGCTCAGTCATTAGAGCAGCTTTGTTTGTTTGTTTCTTTTTTCAATAAAGACACTCCACCACAGCAACAGCACAGTGTCTTCCCAGCTCCCTCATGCTCTGCTTGGCCCCACACAGTTCAGTTTCTGTTGCCAGTCTGGGAACAGTCCCTATACCTGCGGGCACCTCTGGCCTCAGGGCACAGCCTGCACCAAAGGTACCAGTTGTCAGGGCCTTGCCGGAGGTACCCAAAAACCCAGTGGGGAATGCGATGTGCTGTGCTCCCCCTTGCTGAGCCCCATCCCCACACCTGGGCTTGCCCAGTGCCTGCAGCAGCTCAGCCAAGAGTGAGGGAGCAGAGGTAGTGGGGAACAAGTGGCTGAATTCACCCTGTCCTTGGGCTGGCTGTGCTTCAGCGCAACAGCGGGAGAAACAAGAGCCTGCAGGACACCACGGAGGAGACCAAGGGACATTTTCCATCTCATTCTCACACCTCGGGAAGGCACGGTCCATCGCTCTGCACCTAACATGGGAACCCTGCAGGAGGACGCTGGGAACCCCTGACTCAAGCAGAGCTGCTTTGCCAGCTCCACCGCTCCCAAGGCATCCCTTCTGCAGCCCAGCACACCCCGGGGGGAGTGCACATCTCTCAGCTGTGCACCCATGGCTTCAGGCCACCGAGGTTTCCAAGCCAGGCACGGCGGAGCCCAGGTGCGTGGCACCCTGGGAAGCAGACACCGGCCTCACGAGGCGTCTCGACCCCGGCCCAGTGGGTTTCAGAGCTCGTCCACCCCAGGACCGCGAGAGGCCCGGCGGCACCTGCGGGCTGCTGGCTCCCCGCCCCGGCTTCGCACCGCCCGCTGCCCCTCGGGGGGGGGGGGCACAGCCCCTGCCCCGTCCCAGGGCCCGCCCCGGCGGGGGGGGGCACCGCTCCTCCGCGGGTGCCCGGCCCCCGGGGAAAGGGGGACGAAGCCGGCGGCCGGGTCCCCGGGGAGGGGGCAGGAGCAGGCCCGGCCAGAACGGCCCGGGGACCCCTGGGCACACGCAGCGCGGAGCCCCGAGGCGACGCGGACACGGACGCGTTGGCGGACCCGCAGCCAGGCCGCGGCGCGCACTCACCGGCGCGGGCGGCGCGGGGGCGGCAGGCCCCGAGGGCGGCGAGCAGCAGCAGCAGCAGCAGCAGCGCTCCGCGGCGGGCCGCCACCATCCTCCAGCGGCGCGGGCGCGGGCGCGGGGCTGCGGGCGGTGGCGCCGGGCTCGGCGGGGCGGGGCGGGGCGGTGCCCCCCCCCGCGGGGCGGTGCTGGCTCCGTACCGCCCGCCGCCGGGCTCGGCCGGGCCGCGCCGCTCAGCGGACGGCGGCCGCGGGGCTCGGAGCGGCGCGGCTCGGCCGGGCGCTCTGCGGGGCGTGGGGCGGCCTGGCGGGGTCGGGCCCCTCGGTTCCATCACAGCTTGTCAGAAATGCGGTCCGCACGCGGAAGGAGAAGGCGTGTGGGGCGGAGATGCCGTGCTCGCAGGGTGCCGGGAGCCGAACCCGGGAGCAGAGCTGAGGCAAAAGCAGCGGGTGTCGGGATTAAGTTCCTGCCCTGGCCCCTCAGAAACCACATGAAAGGGGGCAAGGGGTTGTGAGATCCCGTGCATGGGGATGACAGAATCACAGCATGGCTGAGGCTGGAAGGCACCTCCGGGATCCTCTGGTCCAATCTGTGCCCCAGAAGGGCCTCCCAGAGCAAGGTGCCCAGGACCATGTCCAATCCATTTCAGACATCCCACGACCTCCCTGGGCAGCCTGTGCCAGTGCCCTGTCACCTGCACAGCACAGAAGGGCTCAGAGGGAGCCAAGTCCCTGCTTCTGCCCTGCATTGTCCCTGTCACCAAGGGACAGAGAGGCCAAGCTCAGACTCAGGTGAAGACCCTGCCAGCTCCCCCCCAGGTGCCTCCCCTGCCCTGTTCCATGCATTGCCAGAGCCAGTGCCCCTGGCTGCATGCCAGGACTGGCGTTCCCCAGGTGCGTGACAGTGCCATCTCCACAGCAGGGTCCAGTTGGGATCCCCTTGCCCACAGAAATGGGCAGGTCCCTGTGCTCCAAAACTGACCTGGCCCTGCCATGTCCTCCCAGCACCTTACTCCTACACAGGACTCCAGAACTCCCTGACTACTGCTGTTTTCCCCTCTCTTTGCATGAAGGAAGGAAGAGGCCCTGCTTCCTGCTTATGTGACTTGGTTAATTGGAGTCTCCTAATTTCTATATTTCAAGCATTTAGCACTATGTAGGACTAAGCCTGAGGAGTTGCAGGCCAAGAAACATCTGGTGAGTGACAGCTACCCGTAATGACAGATGCTCTTGCACCCACCGGAGGCTCCACCAGTTCATTTGCTATTATCTCAACCTTGTTCCCTTTCCCTGCAGCAGGGTGTTTTGGGTCTGATCTGAAGAGGTCTGAGATGGGGTCTTCAGGGCAGCTCTGGGAGCACCCCCAGACTGGTACAGCAGGGACCGCAGGAGGCAGCACTTCTCCGGTGGGGTTAGAGAGCAGGGGATGGAGTCACCAACTAACCGGGAGCCACTGAGGTCATGGGATGGGAGGGGATGAGGTGCTGGCTACTGGTGGTGTGAGGAGCACAGGGACCAGGGCTGCAGTTACAAAGCTGATCTGGGCCATGAGTCTGCAGTGTGGCTGCAAAAACAGGGGCCAGGACATGGAAAAGTCACCACTGCCAAACGGCTGAGATCAGGCAATGGCTTTGTCCACAAGTAAACCCAGCAAGTGCCCAGCCAAGCATGGGAGTGCTGGGGCCAGGGCAGCCCCAAACAGGGGGATGCACAGGCTGCTCTGCAGGCATAGCACTTCAGGAGAGTGGTTTGTGGGGGCCAAGCAGGGATGGTAGCACAACTGCTCTCCTGCAGACTGAGAGCCCTCCTCAGCCCCTCGCCCCCTTCCCCCCCCGCCCCGGGAGGGGCCTGAGAGTGATGCTCTCTTGGGGGAGAAGAATGAGCTGCTGAGGCTGAACCCAACCTCAGGGGGTTGCAAGACCCTGTGCGGTGAAAGCCTGAACCTGGGCTGACCCCATGGCTGGCCCTGTTGTGGCAAGTGCTTGGACTGCAGACCCCCAAAGGTCTGTTCCTGCCCGGACTGGAACTGCCCTGTGATGCCCTGGTTCTGTTCCCAGTCCGTGGAGCAGTGCTTGCTGTTTGCGAGAGGCAGACTCCCAGCAGCGAGGCGGCCCCAGCTCCAAGGGCTTGTCCCATTGAAAGCAGCTGCTGGTTCCCAGCTTCTCAAAACTCAGATTGAGGCCACATCTGTTGCTATTGCTGAATTTCAGATCTTACAATTTACTTGGCTAAAAGCTTAAAAAAAAAAAAAAAGAAAAAAATAAAGAAAATTGTATTTTCCAGCTTTTATATGGTGCTAAGTCTTTCCCCAGGAGCTTTTGGGCTGGGGTCAGTTTTGAGCTGATTGTGCATAGTTGTGCTGGGACAGGCTGTGCTCCCAGCTCAGGGTGGGTGGGCAGGAGGACACTGGGGCTCACCCAGCAACAGGATGGAATGGTTGAAGCTCTAAGTCACCTACTCTGATGGCAGGGTGCACTATTCTGGAAAGAAAACAAGGAATGAGGCCCACCTCCTTTCCCACAGAGAAAACTGAGGAGTAACGTGGCACACAGGAGAGCTGCTCAGCAGATGTACGGAGGGATGCACAAGCTAAAACTCCTGCAGACCCCAGTTTATCGCATTGTTTCTGCCTCACACCCTGTGTACTGCCTGCAAGGGCTGCACCTGCCCCAGCTCAGTGCATGGAGCATTCCAGGGCACCACCACCCTTCTTGACCCATTCTGCACTGCGTGAGCCATAGTTATCAGTGGTCTGCAGTGAAACAGCTGTGGGGAGGTGCCACCTTCCCCCATCCCACACCCCCACTTCAATGCTGCTGTGTGCAAGAGCCGAGTGCACAGGACCCCACTGGGCAGGGAGAATGTGGGGTCAGGTCTGCCTCTTGCTCTTACCGGTCTTGGGCAGTACAATCATCTGCTCCTCAGAAAGCCCCATCTGGCTCATGGTGTCTCTGAATTTCTTTAACATGTGGGGTTTCGCTTCAGCATCCCTACCTGCAGGGGACAGAGTGGTGGCTGCAGCCTGGCCAAAACTGTCCAAACCCTCCTCCTTCCAGGCATAGAGAGGCACATCTGGGTGCCGTGTTCGTGCCAGAGCAGACAGTCCAGACATCCCCAGAGTGACCAGGTGAAAACTTTCCTGCAGTTCCCATCCCACTTACTGAAGGGTCTGCCCCATACACCCCTTGCCTCCCCAGCTCTTGCTTTCTCCAAGACTTACTGTAGAGAAACAGCACTGAGATGATCCGCCCCTGGTACTCGCGGTCACTGAGGAGGAGGATGTGGTTGCTGTAGTCCGTATCTAGCAGCCTGCAGCTGGGGACATCTTCCTCTGCAGGAGAAAGCAGAGGGATACAGAGCTGGCAAGGAGAGAGCTCCATGCCCCCTTGCAGGAGGCAGGGAGATGTGAGAGGACTGTGAGCCATGGAGGGACGCATTAGGTGTGGGATAGGGAGGGGTGAGCTCTGGGCATTGCCTCCCATTGGGCACAGGCTGAGCGTCCCCATGCCCAGGGCTGCCAGGGTTCCAGAAGTTGCCATGCAAGGCTGTGTGCAGCTTCTCACACATCTTGCCTGCCTCAGCCCCATCTTGCACCCCCTCTGCCTCCCACACCCAAGCTTCTCCGCCCTATACACCTGTACCCCTCCTCTGCACCCCCTACCCTCTGCTGTAACCCTCTCCAGCACACTTGTACACCCCTTATACACTCCCTGCCGTATTCTGTTCCTGAAGCTAGCACCACTCCCAGCCTGCATGGCTCCGGCTGCCACAGGCTTTGCTGAGCTGCTGCCGTGCTCCCCTTTCTGCCTCCAGGGAGGCTCCCTGCACCTGCTTGCTGGCACAGCATGGGATCCCCATCACACCAGCCTCATCCCCAGTACTGCCTGTTCCACTCTCTGGCCGTGGGACGTGGTGGTGTCCAGCTCTCAGCTGGGCTGTCTCCATCTCAGGGTGTTCCCGTGGCCCCAGGACCAGCCAGGGCTGCATCCACCAAGAGTCAACAGTTCTTACCGTGGTTGTGAGAAGTGCCACTTCTTTCCTCAAGACCATCATCAGAGCTCCTAAACCCAGAAAAGCCTGAAGAAAGTCATTTATTTAGTCCTGAGAACAAAGAGTACTTTCAACATCCAATCTCTGCAAGCTCTCACCCCTCCAGTGGGCCCTTGTGGTACTACATTGCACCATGAGAGAGTCTGGGGCCCCCCAGCACTACACCCAATCTCTTGCTGGAAGGAGGTTAGGGCCCTCTCTGAGGATGCTCCTGAACAACCTCTCCCCAGATTAATCTCTTCTGGGACACCTGGTAATGTGGCTCCATTGTATGGTACAGAAAAAGGACCCTTAAATCCCAACCCTAGCATGATCAGTGGAGAATGCTGGCGAGCTGGAGGTGTGCGGGGCTGGGCTCTGGGACAGGGGAGATGGAGGTGTTCACAGGTCACCCAGGAGGCCTGGTGCAGACAGCCCAGGGCCCTTTCCCATCACTCTGGGATCGGGGCATCTCCCAGAACCACCGCCAGGCCACAGCAGCTCCGTGGCTTGGTGGTGACAGGTGAGCTGGGCATGGGATCAGGGCCAGGCTGCGTGGCAGAGGTGTGCTGGGGGTCTGCTGAGTGGCACCAGCCCACAGTGAGGGCTGGGCTTGCCTGGGGAGAGGGGAAGGCATCACAGCATCTCCATTAAGGGACCTCCCTTGGCTACGGGGTCTATGCCAGCATCATCCTATGCTTTGTGACAGGGAATCCCTAGCTCCTGCTGGTCTGCTCTGCGGTGGTACATATTATTGCCTGCATGCGGGGCAATAGCCCAACTTGATGTCAGTGCCACAGAGGGTTCCTGTCCTGGGGATGACTTAAACCCTGCTGCTGGGTCAGGAACAGATCTCCCAACTCTGCCCTTGTGCTCCCCTGGTACTTACAGGAGTTTGTGTGTTGACTAGGTTGATCATTTTTTTTTAGGACCATTATCCTCTGCTCACATCCTTCAGGGCTGGGGAGCAAGCAAAGACCATCAGACTCTGGCTTATGGCATGCAACCCCCTCGGCTTTCCCAGTGCCCCTTTAGCTGGAGCAGCTCCACCACATTTCCTTTGGTCTCCTCAAAAAGTGGCTCAAGAGGTCATTTGGTTGCTCTAGCCCAAGTAGCTGCAGGGAGAGGCAGGAAGATGCAGCTGGGGCTTGAGCTGAGACAATTCCACTCAGAGACAAGGCACACCTAACAATGTCAGGGGTGGCTGGGCAGAAGCTGTCAAGAAAATGTTATGATTTTCATCCCTCATCATCCAACCAAGACTGGACTCCTTTCTAGGAGGAAGAGGCTCATCAATCTGATTTTTTTGGGGCTGACTGAAGAGGTAATGTGGGCTGTGTGGCACCCTCTAGTTAGTGCTAAAGAAAAGAAGAAATTAATTTTAAAGCATGTGAAGCCACATCATTCTTCTCCACTGGGAAGAAGCTTGGTTGAATTTGGCCTCTCTTTTTAGGCACACAGAATGACAAGTGAAGACAATCTTGCACTGGTAAAGATAGATTAAATAGAAAAATGTTTAAATTTTCTTTGATTTAGTGACACTTCTCCAATCCCCTACACAGCCTGGTAGTGGAGCAAAGACAATAATCCTAAATCTTTGCTCTCACTGTTCACTTAGAGGTGCTTTACAAACACCCATGGATACACTGATTCTTTGGCTCCACCTGCAGCTAGAAGGAGCAAATCTCCCCCACCAGGCCAGAGGGTTTACTTGCACAGTTCCTTGCTCCATTTTTGCAAGACTAGGCTGTACTTTAAGTCTGAGTCAGCAGCAGGAGCAGATGTTGGACATCTCCTGCGTGGGCACATAACACAGTAGCCCCTCTAGTCTCACTTCTGTAGTCTCCAGCCACATGGCAGATGTTTCCATGTCCACTGTATTTTTCTACTTTTAGTTAATCACTGTTCAAGGTTGGAGGATGGAGGCCAGCTCTTGGAAACTCTGCTCCATGCACGCAAACAGCACACGTGTTACCACGTCAGGAAGCAATGACCTCCCCCAGGGGACCTATGCAGTTCTTCCTATGTTTTTTGAAGAACTCAAGAGCTAACTGAGAGGCTTTTTCAGAGCAAAAAGGAAAGGAGCCCATGGTGAAAGCCATAGCAAATGAGATTTTGCAGTGCAGCTTACCCAGAAATTAAAGTTGTTATGATTATTTCACCATTCTGTTGTGGTTTTACAGTGCTCACAGCCATCTTCGCATTTCTCTTGAAGTCCTCAATCCAGCTGGAGTGGGAAGCTATGGCAATGGTATGCCACTTCCCAGCAAGCTAGAGAGAATAGCTCTACACTCATTAATACAAAAAACAATGGGAGGTTCAGGGATAGAGCAGGAAGCCCCTAAAGCCTCCTCAGCTTAGGCTGCTGATGGGGTAGAAAAGCATTTCTTCTGCAATGCAGAGCAGTGGTCTGCCATAAAGAGCTAACCAGATGCAAAATCCACTAGGACAAACCCAGGTACTCAGTAATACTCACTAGCCATCTGACTGCCCCATGAGGGTGCTTAAGCACCCAGATGTTATGATTGTAAATGCCAGAAAGCCTGAGGGACTCTGACTCCCAGCAGGAGCTGGGGTCCTCACAGAAATGTGCAGGTGGGCTTTGTCTGATCTCTGCTCCCTTACGAAGGCTGTATCCAAGCAAGGCAGCTTCCCCATCTTCCACCATGAGAAAATTCCCTCCAATGTCATTACCTTCTCTGCATCAAAATATTCCTTCTGAGGGATTTTTGCCTGGGCCTGCAGCACTGACAGAAGCATCAGCTCCAAGAGCAGGAACATGACCTTCATCTTCAGAGCTGGCCTCTTTCCAAGCACAACCTGGCAGCCATGCAGCACACCTGTGAGGACGTTGTGCTCCATGGGGACCTCCAAGCTTTTATGCTTGCACAGCTCCTCAGAGGCAGCAAGCAAACCTGTCTCTGGCCACACGCATGACGGCTGAAGACATTGCACAGATAACATCGGCAGCCGTGGCCTCAGCTGGCACTGTGTTTGTTTTTGCCTGCACCCGAACAGTGTGTTCCTGCCGGGTCTGGCACAGGGCGATACGCTCAGCTCTGCGGCCAGGGGCAGGGAGAAGTGGGGAGGAATTCCCTGCCGCTGACAGTGTCTGCGGGACCAAAGCAGGAAGCTCTGCAGAGTCATGCAGAGCCCCAAAAGGCACCTTCGGCACCCTTGGGTGCATCCCACCTAGTCCCATGGGCTTCAACTTGTCTGGTTTGCATATGTCATCCTGACTACATCCCTAAATCTTCCTTTGCTGTGGGTAAATCTCCACTCCCCCAGACTATTTTTGCTCAGATGCATTGTTCTAGAGCAGTGATCTCCACACTTTTTTAATCATACACCCCTCGCACTAAAAAGCTTTTGAGCATATACCTCCAATATAAATATAGTTATTTACAAATTACATACATGTAATACTACTGTACATTATAGAATATATTAAAAATGGAAATTAAGAAAGGATGAGATAAAGATGATGTTTTAAAACAGTATTAAAATATTTTATTTATTAGTCGTACAAAAATATTTTCTTCCTTTACCCCAATGCATTGTCTTGCACACCCCTGGAGTGCACACACTCCACTTTGGAGACCATTGTTATAGAGAAAGCAGAGATTTTTCCCAAATAAATAAGTATGATAAAAGGGAAATATATTTATTTTATCTTTTGTAGCAGACATTGGCCAAACATAGAGCACACTTAGGACTTGTGGTGCATGACCCTTCCCTGCCCCATGGGTTCTTCATCATCTTTTCCCTGTCTGTCACCTCAAGAGATGCATACTTGGCCAAATATGAGAATAGCTGTAACTGGCAGGAATAATTGTGAAAATGAACCCTCCTGGGTTTCAGCATCAGTAGCAGGGGGTGGATATCTGGCTCACATGTCCTGGGGACCATGGGTGAAAAGGAATATGCAATTCCCCTTTTATTGGCAAAGGAGCAGCCAATTTTGTATCTGTCCTGCAAACTGGATTCCCAAATTAGCTCTCCCTTGATGGTGTGCTCTGGGAGGGTGTGTCACATCCTTGCCTAAGCTGGATAAAGCACACTGGGTTCTGACTGGGAAACTCTTGGTTCCACCAGAGGAGGGGTTGCTTCCAATCACAGGAAACCATTTTTTCCCATAATTTCTGCTAAATAGGAGCCTTACAGAAGCTTGCAAAGAAATCACAGCCCAGCATTCGGCTGAGGTCCAAGAAGGATGTGAGGATGTTTCACTGTGCCTGTAGGCGTATCTTCTTGCACACAGTGAGATACGGTCACGGTGTTCTTCCACATCCCTTTATTTGTGGCCACCAGGCAACGCCTTCTCAGCTCTGTGTGGTGCCAAGAGCCCTGTGCACTCTTCCTGAAAGCACATCATGAACCAGAATAATCTGCTCTCCCAGGCATGTTCAGGTGCCACCTACACTCCTGCCTTGTCACCACCATTTTGCATGCGGAAACAGATGTCTGTTCCTAGGATTGGCTTTGATTCCTGAAACTACAAAGATCAATCCCCTGATAATGGTTTTCCTACTTATACATATTTTATTGCATTAAGAGAAAGACATCCGGCTCTGCAGTGTCTGCAAGTCCAGCCCAGACAAGATTATCCACCACTTAGCAGGAGATGCTTACAGCAGGGCATTACTGCTGCACTTTGCAGTGTTTCACCTCAGAAAGAGCTTTGCTTAGGAATAAAAGCTCTTTCCAGGAAGCCTGACAAAACCTCAGTGCAGATAAATGATTAAAAAACAAACAAACAAAACAAAGCAAACAAACAAACAAACAACAACAACAAGGATAACCAAGGACACCGTCACAACAAAGGCATTTTGTGGAGGTTCAGTACTGCTTCTCGACCTGGACAATACCTATTTCTTAGGAAAAAAGTTCACAGAATTGTTTTTTTTGGGAGAACTGTGACCAAGACCTAATGGTTTTATGGAATCCCCTCCTGGTCTATTCACATCTCCAGAGGTCACCCTTCTGCTTGCCACTGGTCCAAGAGAGCCCCACTGTCCCCCATCATCTTGGGTCATCAACAGCCAAGCTCCATGCATGGTGAAGGCAGAGGCTGTTCTGCAGCCCTGCCTGTGTCCTTGGTGGATCTCTGTGACAACGCTCTGTGCAGGGCTTTTCTGATGGCCCCCTGCACTTCATTATTTCTCAAGCTGTAAATGATGGGATTCAACATGGGGGTTATGATGGCGTACAGCAGGGCGAGGACCTTGCCCATCTCCTTGGAGGTGCTGGAGTGGGGCAGCAGATAGGCAATGGCCCCAGCACCAAAGAACAGGAACACGACAGTCAGGTGGGAGGCGCAGGTGGCAAAGGCCTTCTGCCTCCCTGCTCCCTTCTGGAGGACAGCCCAGAGGATGTGAACATACGACACGAGAGTAAGGAGGAAAGAGCCCATGGCAATAGTCCCAGCCAAAGCATACAGGACAGCCTTGTTGAAGCGAGCATTAGGGCTGCAGGACACATTCAGCAAGAAGGGTATCTCACAGAACAAGTGATTGATCACTTTGGACCCACAGAAGTGTAGGTGGGCTGCGAGAAAGGCCTGTATCAGAGATGAGAAGGAGCCACTCAGCCATGAAACAGCCACTAAACAGTGGCAAATCTTCTTGCTCATGAGCACTGCATAGTGAAGGGGGTGGCAGATGGCCAGGTACCGATCGTAGGCCATGGCAGCCAGGAGCACACACTCAGAGCCTCCAAAGCTAAGGAAGAAATAGATCTGTGTGATGCAGCCCGCAAAGGAAATGGTCTTCTGTGATGAGAAGGAATCCTTGAGGATCTTAGGGAGTGTGACAGAGGAGTAGCAGATATCCAGGAAGGAGAGGTGGCCCAGGAAGTAATACATGGGGGAGTGCAGGTGAGCATCCAGCCAGACGAGGTTCATTATGAGCAGGTTCCCCAGCAGAGTCACCAGGTAAATGAGCAAGAAACCCAGGCAGAGGGCCACCTGTGCGTTGTAAGTACTGGAAAACCCCAAGAGAAGGAATGAGGTGGGGCTGCTGAGATTTCCCCCCTGCAGGGATTCAGAACTCATCTACAGGGAGAGCAGGAGGACGTGAAGGACAGGTGGAAGCAGGGTGAGCACTCACCCCTGCCGTGGGATGTCTCCAGCGTTCTGCTCTGTTGTGTTGTGGGCTGAAGCCATGACACAGCCTCTGGCAACCCTCGCAACTCACATCGGGCTCCAGGGGCTCTGGGATGGGAAATGTCTATGGGGGAAGGTGATGAGTTTCAGCCCAGGGGGGTTCAGTCCTCAAGCCAACCCTGCAGGAGCCCACACCTGCACGGCCATGCCCATGTTCCCACTGCCCCGTAGCTGTTTCAGCTGGCACAGGGGCAACTCTGGCCCAGTGCTGCCAGTGGACTCTGGTAGAAACCTGACAGACCTGGCTGAAATGGTTCTAGCTCTTCAGGTACTTGTTTGAAGAGCCCATGGCACAGCAAAACCACTTCCCTGTGCCTCTGTCTGAGCTGGGGCAGGACCTGGTGATGAACGGGACAAAACTCTGCATCACCTGAAGAACACCTGAGAGCAGGGACATCACCACTGTAGTCCATAAGGATCCCAGGAACTGTTAAATGAGAACAAACAGGAGCAGTCCCTCTCTCCCCTTCAGGTTTCCTGGGCTGTACCTGGAGTGTGGTCTAAATATCCCCAAAAACATGGCAGGTTCGACTCTGCCTTGCTGAACTATTGCTGCCCTTCATAGTAGCAAGGTGTGTTTACATTGTTAATGAAAACATAGAAGGACCACAGACTGTGGGAGCACATCTCATCGTTCTGCTGGAAAAACAAAACAAAACAAAACAAACAAACAAAAACCTCAAATCAAAACCAAACCACCTTTAAAAGTTACAAAGACAGTGTCTGATTGCAAATACGGCACTGTAGTCTCATGAGCACCTTGAGAAAGCACTGTAGGGAGGGAATTCTGAGAGATCACAGGACCAGAAAGGCATCTGAAGGTGATTGTGTTGTTCAAGTAGTTTGAGGGTGGCAAGGAAAAGCAGAGGCACCAGCCTGCAGGAAAAGGGAAAGACTCTGAATCTAATTAGAAACTGGAGTTCAGGGATACAGAAGATATTGAGTGCGAACCTAAAACTACTGAATTCTTAGGAAGAGCAGTAAGGAGACAATCAGTGATTTATGCTCAAACTTGCAAGAGGCAGTGTGTCACTGCTGGGGCTGACAGGGCAGTCACCAGGTTGTTGCAGAGGGAAGTGTGGGAGCATCTTCCAGGAGCGAGGAAGAGGTGGGTACCAGGCTGAGAAGGCTTGAGCTCCATCAAACAACATTGCAAGTTCTCTGCAAAAGACAACAAGGACATCCCCACAATGCTGGGGATGAGCTCCACAATGTGGAGATTCAGGGATGGGCTGTACGTTTGTCCTGGTACCCTGCAAATGGGCTGGATATGTACTTTGGGAGGGAGGGAGGTGCAGACAACCCAAAGTTTGGTCCCACAGGCAAGGCTGGAGCACTGGAACAACTGCGAGCTTCCATGTACATGCTCCTCCTAATGCAAGGAGGTGATCCATCAGGAGGGGAGAATCTTTCAGGGATCCAGGCTGGGAGAAATGACGTATCAGGCTATGAACCACAAAGGGACTGGTGGCTGAAGAAAGGCATGTACTCTCCATGCTTTGTGTGGTATGTGCTGTTAAACAAGGGCAGAAAGCAGAGACAGAGGAAAGGGAAGCAGCTGTAGGGATAAGTAGCTTGTGTTCATGAAAGGACCTGCCTGACCAACCTCATTCTGGCTTGTATTAGGAACAGTGCAGCCAGCAGGACCAGGGGGGTGATCATCCCCTGTACTCTGCTCTGGTAAGGCCATACCTTGAGTGCTGTGTTCAGTTTTGGGCCCCTCACAACACAAAGGACATTGAGACCCGGAAACATGTCCAGAGAAGGGCTACGAAGCTAGTGAAGGGCCTGGAACACAAGTCCTGTAAGGAGCGGCTGAGGGAACTGTGGGTGTTCAGTCTGGAGAAGAGGAGGCTCAGGGGAGATCTTATTGCTCTCTGCAACTACCTGAAAGGAAGGTGAGCTGGAGGTCAGCCTCTTCTCACAGGTAACCAGTGATAGGACTACAGGGAATGGTCTCGAGTTGCACCAAGGGAGGTTTAGTTTGGAAATTAGGAGATATTTCTTCTCTGAAGGAGTGGTTACACATTGGAATGGGTTGCCCAGGGAGGTGGTGGCATCACCGTCCCAAGGCGTGTTTAAGGAAAGGTTGGACATGGTGATTAGGGACCTGCTGTAGTTGGTGACATTGGTAGTAGGGTGATGGTTGAACCAGATGATCTTGGAAGGCTTTTCCAACTTTAATGATTCTATGATAAGAGCAGGTGGGAAAATGGTACAGCCAAACAAAAGGCTGGTCTCTTCTAGCTCAGGAAGAGCAGATGATCCATAGGAAATAATACAAATGGTTGTGGCTTCAGGCAAAGCTGGTATGGAGCAGCTCAAACTGCTACATGGAGCATCCCATGACAACAGATATTCCTGGAGGTCAGTGAAACAGTTGGTGTAACCAGAGCAGACAATAGAGGATGCAGGAGGAGAGTGCAAGAAAGTGAGATGAGGAGGATGGGTAACACAGCACAACACATTGAAAGGCACCATCAAAACATCTTCCTGGGTCCAAATCACCTTGGGAAGAAGGGAAAGGAAGGTCTGCCCTGACAGATCCCTCAACCAGACTGGGGCAAGAACAAAGCCACAAGAGAGAAATTCTGCCAGGAAGAATAACTCCTTGGAGAGGGGAGGCTGTAAATCACAGTCTTGTCTATAACGACCATTCCAGAAAGCCTAGAATCATAGAATATCCCAAGCTGGAAGGGACCCGTAAGGATCATCGAGTCCAAGTCCTGGCACCACACAGGTCTACCCAAAAGTTTAGACCATGTGACTAAGTGCACAGTCCAAACGCTTCTTAAATTCCAACAGGCTTGGTGCAGTGACCACTTCCCTGGGGAGCCCGGTCCAGTATGCGACCACCCTGTCTGTGAAGAGCCTCTTCCTGATGTCAAGCGTAGACTTCCCTGCCTCAGCTTGACACCATTGCTGTGGGTCCTACCACTGGTGATTAAGGAGAGTAGGTCGGCGCCTGCCCCTCCACTCCCCCTCACGAGGAAGTTGTAGACCTCGATGAGGTCCCCCCTCAGCCTCCTCTTCTCCAGGCTGAACAGGCCCAGTGACCTCAGCTGCTCCTCATACGTCTTCCCCTCTAGTCCGTTCACATCTTCGTCACCCTCCTCTGGACACTCTCCAACAGCTTAACGTCCTTTTTGTACTGTGGTGCCCAGAACTGCACACAGTGCTCGAGGTGAGGCCACACCAGTGCAGAGTAAAGCGGGACAATCACCTCCCTCAACTGACTATCAATGCCGTGCTTGATGCACCCCAGGATATGGTTGGCCCTCCTGGCTGCCAGGGCACACTGCTGATCAGGGCACACCCCTGGGTATGTCATCTCACATGTTTTTACCACGTCACAGCATGAAGTGAACTGATGGGGTTCTGGTACCTGAGTGGCTGGTAGAGCAGGGGTGTTGGACCAGCTGGCCTTCAGAGGTCCCTTCCAACCTCAATCATTCTGTGATTTTGTGATTCTAGCAAGCAAGTAATGTATGTGCACTGAGGAGGACATTTGGAATTAGTGGAAAGTCTGCAAGCAAAGAAAAGATCTCAAAATGCAACAAGAAAACTCTATAGTGAAAGACGAATGAGTGCAGGGAGACCATGAAAATGGTGTGCGGCCTTATGAGGTTAATATACGTGCTTCAGCCATATATTTGAAGGAAAGGCAGCCCTATGGCACTTCTCAGTTCACCCAGACCCAGAATCGCCCAAACCCAGTTTTCCAGGAAGACGATTTATAGCAAAAGTGGGGTTGCAAGTGACAACATGAAGGTATGGGGACAGCAGCATCAAGCAGAGAGGAAAGTCCTCAGAGGTTTGTTGAATACCAGTGGGGCTGCAGGAAGGCTGCAACTGAATTTAGGAAGAATTAATGCCGCTTCTCCTTCAGTGAGTATGCAAAGCATCTTTGTGAGGACAGCTACATCTGATAGGAGAATAAGAATCCAGCACTGGACATTTGCAAGGTTTTAGAGGAAAGAAAAGTTGAAGTTACAGTAAAATGTAACCCAGGCTTCCAAGGGGAGATTGTACCCAAAAACCCATCTGTCCAGCCCTTGGTTTCTCCAGCAGTGGGAATGGCACAATTGTCACTTTCCTGGATCTCAGAAAAAGATGTCTAAAATCCCATGTTAACCTTGAGAGGAACAGGGGTGAAGGGGCAAGGAGCAGTGGGGAAGCTCCTGGGAGACCTGGGGGGGATATGCTGGCCCCACTGAAGTTGTTCCAGAGCAGAGCACCATGCATTGTGATGTGCTGGGAAATGGGAAGCCATGAGCTGGGAGTTGCCGATGAGAACTAGCTGGGCACAGGAGCTCTGTGACTGTGGAGCAATGTGCTGGCCCACAGGGATATCAGCAGGACACCCAGCAATCTGGCCAGCCCAGGATAATGACAAATCATGAGTGTGGCAGGGGAAGGCAAACTGGCTGTGGGGACAGGAGGAAAGCTTTCCAGTCTATGTGCGAAAATAGTGATGCTGAGATATGTTAGTGAGACCTTGCCAGGTGGTGCGTAGGGAGCCCGCTTGAGGAAGAGGGAGCTGTTCTGCCATGGCACTATGCCTGCAGAAGGGAGAGCCCCTGGGGAGCACATGTTGCGATGTGGTCAGCCTGGAGCAGCAAAGCCCAGCAGGGAGGCAACTGCTGCATGGGGGAGCAGAGCCATTCGCTAGAGCATGCTGCTGTGGGTGGGCCTGGCACGGACAAGCCTGTGTCAGCTAACAGCTTAAACCCAATTTCAAAAATGATTTGTACTTGGGAATCACATCCTTAGTTCTAATGCACCAAGATTTGGACAAGGAGTCAAGGTGCCATGTGGTGCCTTCTCATACGGTTTAGACCCCACAGTGATTACATACCAGCGTAAATACAGGAGGAGTTTTGGTTCCTAAATGTTTGACACCAATTAAATCTTTTCATTTTACCTAAAATAAATATGCTCTGACTGTAAGTAGATGTCCACAGAGCCTTTAGTGTCAGTTTACTGAAGTGGAGGTAGAAAACTACATGCCTGGAAGTTAGCACAAAGACCAGAAACCCCCAGCTCTCTCCCTGCATACCACGGCCCTCTGCCCCCCCACACCTGGGAGCATACCCAGGCCTCCGGTCTCCCCAGAGGATCACCACAAACCAGCTTGGCTTCTCTGGCACTAG